GGGAAGTTTTCCGGAAATGCACGAACACGCATGTGTACAAAAATACGATGGTCATTGGTAAATTCAAATTCCCGTAATTAAAAAAATAATCATACCTAATTGAAGTAGTGTAATTCAAATTACCGTTATATTGTTTGATTACGCACAGGTAGTGGGAGATGTTACACCAATCTCTTTCCAATGTTTCGTAATATTCCATACACACATTATTCAACACTATCCATTTGAAACATTAAAGTTCTGTAACGCGTTACGGTATTATCGATATTTTGTGAAATAAGTTTTTAAACCTATCGAACGATAACCGTTATTTATTTACAGGTCGTCGAGCAATGGTAAATAAACTCTGGTGCCAAGAGGTAGCGAGGAAATGGTTCTACAGGAAAGGCGAACCACCGCATCCGCGTTCACTTTCCGAACCAAGATGTCAGAGACACGTAGCCAGCTGGTTTTTACTTTATCGTTGGTTAATCTTCTTGGGCTGGGCTGTTATCATCGTGTGTTCGATCTTCGAATTTGGAAGTGTCAAACCTATGCCATTGTATGATAAGTGGCTGATCTACTTGACCAATTGGGATCTAGTGTTGGGCTTGTGTCAAGCGTTACTTGGCGGTTTTCTCGTATCGAGAAGATGGAAGCAGCAAAAAGTATCGGATTTCGATCCTTCCACGCTGGTGTTAGGATCAATTGACAGAGTTTACTGGTTCCTTTACGTCGTGACCACCACTACTGCATTCGGAGTTACGATCACCTATTGGTGTAGTATATACGATCCTAGTATTCACCATTTGGATCCCCTGAACATTATGCTACACGTTTGTAACAGTATTTTAATGGTAATAGATTTCTGTGTCACAAGCATTCCATTTAGATTAAGGAACTTCTGGTGGTGTTTAACCATAGTGTTTTTTTACGTCATCTTTTCGATAGTATATTATCTAGCAGGTGGATTAGACAAGAACGGTTATCATTATATCTATAAAATTATTGACTGGAAGAAACCATTGCAAACTACGCTTGTATGCATAGGCGAAGCGATCTTTATAACTATATTGTATTCTCTGATGTGTTTCCTCGAGAGACTGAAGGATAAGTTGTACCTTAAGGTCGATAAAAAATTAGGGACAGCGTATACAGAAACACAGATGTCTAATACGGAAAAAAGTGCCGATATTGTTTGAGAATTAGCAATAATAAAGGACTTTTTTACAAGTTTCTAAAGCGAATTACTGTTTGCACTTCTTATTACTGTTTATACTGTTCTGAACTGTAGTTTGAAGTATCGTTGTATACTTTTTTAGGCAATACTATTTTTTTATTGCTACTACCGATAGTTACGAATAGCGCCTATGCGGAGGACATTGTTCAATGAAGTTTGTACCGCACTGACAATAAACGTAAACATAGGAATTGTAATGCGAGAATGCACGTAGAAATATGCGTATGCGTACGTGCACGATCATTCGTATTTATAAGTTCCATGCTACGAAACAGTATTTCTCAAATTATATAATAGTTAAAAAAGCAGGAAATTGTATTAGCGTTCGTTAATGAATATCCTACGTTAGAGAAATTAAGTAACTTTTATAAAGATATAATCGAAGCTAGTAGAAATCAAATTTAGGGAATAAAGTCACGCATACTATCGTCGATAATTATATTATGCAAGAAATTAGCTGTAAATTGTGATGATATAAAATTTGTCTGAAACGAAAGCATTATGCGAAGGATATTTTTGAGACATGCACACATACGCATTTATAGGTATGAAAGCATTTAATATCGTGCAACTTATATTCGTCCAATTGTTTTTTTTTTTTATCATTATATTGTATACCACTGTTATAAAAACATTCCAAATTTATGTTTATTATTAATATATCAATATGTCTTGGTTTATTAAATCTTGAAACTGTTGAATTATTTCACATTCAGTAAAAACCCTCAATGTATGAAAATGTACATTGTGTAAAACTATTCACACCTTACAAAATGTATACTCATTTTTTAAAGTCTAAGTAAAGAAACGTTATATATAATATATATACGCATTAGTTATTCTATATACACAAGGTATTAGGAATATTATATACAATAGAAGAACAATGAATAAACTTTCTGGAAAAATAGCAACAATTTATTAATAAAATAACGATTTGAAGCAATTATGGACTGCAGTATAAATGAATGTAAGGCTAAAACAAGCCTTTTGATCACAGACCATATTAAAACTTATCCTACATTAAAAAATAACAATGATCAGTTTCTTTTTCACCCATTTCCAAAGTACAGTCGTGTATTATTCAAGTCCCCGCAAGTTTATAGTACTTTCAGGTGGTACTGAATCGAGTAACAGTACTTGATACTCTGTTCCTACTACATCATCTTGATAATACATCGAAGGCAATTCCTCTGTGAGCAATAAACCTTCCTCTAAATCACTTGTACCTAACACAAGGTCCGATGCTCCGACTACCGAATCTAACACAGCACCATTCGCCTTTAATTTCCACACGTCGGAGAATGTTAAATCAGTCCGTGCTGAGCCTTGATCTTTTCTCAAGGGTAGATCAGGTAATTTCTTGTATGTCGTTACATCCGAAGGAGGTTCTGACGTTTTTAATACATTATTAAGAGGCGGTGGTTCCGGTTCAGGAAGAGATCGATCCGTTTCTGGCGAAGTACTAAGAATAACCGCATCATAAGGCGCTACCATTATCATTTGCTCCGTAGGCTCTGATACCGAGGGAGCGGTGTACAAAATGTAGTCCATGTTACAAACTGAATTTCCAGGCATTCTTTTGGATGTTTTGTCTGCGCACTCTTCAACAGGTGTACCGTGTACTTTTAACATGTGTGCTCTTAACGTAGCTTTTGTAGTATACGAACGTGTGCAGGTTTCAACTGGACAATGGTATAAAGTCTTAGATTGATCTTGTGGAGGCACTGTATCGTCTTTAGTTTGATTCTCATTATTATTTCTGATATTTGCATCGTTTATGTGTTCAGAGTTCTCCGTCACTGTAGACGTGTTTAGGCAAGCCGCATTAATATTCAGATCTATTGACTTTCTTTTTGATTTCACAACCGGATTAACCCTAGAGCATTGCGTTTCCTTCAGTTTGCTCCGTTTATGACCATTGATAGTATCGTGTAAATTCGCCTCTACCTCTTCTTTAACTTGATGCTTCTTTATATGAACGTACAAACTACTTTTTGCAGAAAACTTCGCGTTACATATAAAACATTGAAAGTATCTTCCTTCCTTATGCGTTAATCTATGCTCCTTGAGATGCTCAGATCTCATAAATGCTTTTCCACAGGAAGGAACGTCGCACACGAACTTCCGTTCATTAGTGTGCTTTTTCTGGTGTCTCTTCAATTTGCTAGAAGAAGAGAACGCCCACTGGCAGCCTTGAAATGTACAAAGGTAAGGTTTGCAGCCAGTATGCGAGCGTATGTGTGCCTTGAGCCTACAAGGCTTGTCGAATACTTTACCGCAGCCTGGCCACGAGCATTTTACATCTACTTCCTTATAACTATGGCATCTTTGATGCGACGTCAAAGCGTTACTACTATAATATCTCTTTCCGCAACCTTCGTGTTTACAGACATACGGAGCATGACTCTGGTCATGAGACTTCATGTGCAGTTCTAGAGCTCTCTTTGTCTGAAATTTCTCCTGGCAGTCTGGCACTTGACACAATATCCTATTCGGGCGACTATGCAACTTCGCGTGACTCCATAAATTATAAATCGTAGTAAATCGACGATTACAACCTTGTACCTCGCAAATATAGTCTTTACGTTTCAAATGCGTTTCTTTGTGTCGTTTGAGCTTAAATTCTGAATAAAATGCCCAGGCACACCCTTCGAAATCACACTGAAATAAAAGCATGAACAGGTAAATGTATTATAATTCTGTTAGAAAACTGAGAGAGAAGTATAAAAGCATGTACAATTCATATACCTTAAATGGTCTTACACCATAGTGTGCTAATAAATGGCCTTTCAATGCATAAAGTTTACTAAATTGCCTATTGCAATCATCACGTGGACAGAGCCATACTTTCCCATGCTCATTGACAGATATTGGCTGTAAGTTGTCATCTGTAATACCTAATTCCTCTAAAGCATTTGATATCACCAATTCATGTTGGTTATTAGGATTTTCTGCACTCTGTTCTATTGTTCCATTCCACACTGTTGAAGTTTCTATTTTTGGCAATTTTGGAAAATTTCCTGTAGCTTCTATGAGCTCTGAAGTCTTCCCTTGATAAATCTGTTCTTCTGTACCAGTGTTTATAACAATTTGTGTCATATTTGAAATCTTGTCGGTTGATATGGCGACAACAGCCATTACACCATCCTCAGTGTCTACAACATCCTCTCCACATATCTTAATCTCACTCTCAAATTTTTTCTCTAATGTTTCCGGTATCTTTTTACGCTTCTTAATAATACGTGGTTCCAACTTCACCTTAGCCTTTGTTTTCAATTGTTCAATTATAACATTTTCAGAATCACCTTCAACCAGCTTTGCTCCTGACAACTCTTCTACTATATTTTCAGAACTGAGATCCTGCACATAGAGATTCATAGTATTTTCAGATGGGCTATTGTCCTTTTGTAATTGAACATCTTTATTCACTTCATCTATAACACGCAAGTCGTCTACAACAACCTGTGTGGACTTGTTTTGTGACTCTTGGCCATCAACAATCATGGCCTTCTTCAACAACGAAGCTTGTTCAGTTTCCGCACATAATCCTTCGACATCTCTATTAGAGACAGTTAAAGTAGGTTGAGCACTGGTCGACGGTAAAATTTCACCGGCAACCATCATATCGTCCGGAGATAACGCCAACGGATCCAAATGATCCAGCTGAAATTCCGGCAGTATAAAGCTATCCTTCTCGTCCAGCAGCTTCTCATTCTGAAGCTCCTGAAGCAAAGGATCATAACCTAAATTGAGTTTTTTGTCTGACAGATCGATGTCGATCGACAATCCGTCAGGGTCCTTTTCCAGAAAAGCGTGCTGGAGTTCCTCGCCCAGGTACCGGTCGACGCCCTCCTCGACCCCGGACTTGATCGCGTCGAGATCCATGCTCGACACGGATTCCGTGCGTGTTTTTAACCATTTCTCAATGTCCGCTACAGTCTCGACATCGGCGACTTTACCGATTCCGTCAACAATACACGGCTCGCTAGTTACAACACCGTTTGTCACTTGATTACCCTCGATCCACACTCTATGGTGATACTGTGCAGTCTCGTCGTCTGTCTCCGCTTTATGTTTTCCTTTTTTATTTGTATCTTCCGTTTTCTCCTCATCCGGCGAAGCGGACAACAGACTCGACTGACTGTAACCTACCGATCCACCCACAACGCCGACCTCGCCGTGCGGCCAACCGCGAACCGAACACAAACCTCGCCGGTTACGAAAGATTCGCGGGATTTGTTTTGACTTGCAAGCGGAGGGAGTTCCTTTACGAGACATTTGACTACCCCGTAGCCAGCTCTGTAGGGGTCCACACACAGCAACAACGCCGCCATCGAAGGAAACCTTGTAGATCATAGGTGACCTATCGTATTCAGAGTAGAATGAACTGAGCGTAGGTAGATGGCACTGCGTGTGCTCATTTTTTAGCGCTACTTTCGAACGTGTAATCCGTTAAATCTTAATTTCATCAAATAATATTCAATTATATCCAACAATTTTTACGTTTTCTTTATTTGTCTCTGTAAGGTATATAACGAAACAATATTACAAACTACTTTTCCTCTTATACACAGACAAATTTTCAACGAACGGTCTAATTACAAGCGAAATGTAAATTTTGTTTCTCGTTAATACATGTACTTATAAAATTTCCATAATTACTCTCCCATGGCAAATTATTTAAAATTAGGCGGTTTGTTGTATTCAGGCATGTCTTTTTCTGCGATCAGAATTTTCAGCTGTTCTATCCTCGATCGTCTTGGAATCCTTTTTGTTAAATCTACTTTATCCTCGAGAGTTTTCTCCGATTTCTTCTCAGGGTACCGAAGATTCTTCAGTAAGTTAGCTCTCTCGAATGTCGTTTGCTGAGATAGCCTGTAGGGGTTCAAATCTCTGTTGATCGGCGGTTGTACGTCTTCCGGTAAAATTCCTCGTCGACAAATAAATGACCTCCTTCGTTTATCCGGTGGTCTCAGTTCCTCGTACGGAATTTTAAACGACGTTATCCTGCCGTTGTTGTCGTCTTTGGGCGGTTGGTCATCGAGAACCAACAGACTCAATGGCGCCTGCAAATTCACATATATAGGGTGTCCAAGAACACTTAAAATCGTCTTCGTTTTTAATGTTACCAATTATTGTCACTTTTTTCTTTTTGAAAATCACGAGTAATTTCCTTCATTTACAATGTATCCATACATCTCTGAATTATCAAATTCTAAGATATTATCTCGATACATTCGGAATTTTGAAGAAATTAAAAAAGAAAGTATCTACAAAAGAAAATTTTCCTTTCACAATATTCAGATTGTGTCTTAACCATTTCTCGTACTATTAAAAACGAAGAAGAAGATCGAGGTGTACATCTTATACTTGTACACCTTGTATATCACAGTCCCTCAATATCCAAAAATTTTCTAACTCAGTTAATCGTCCAAAAATCGACAATCCTCCTTCCAAATTGCTCACAAAAATTACCATTGCTCACCTTATCAGCAAAAACGCTCATCATCCCAACGACCACAGCTTTGGGCACTTTGTAACCCGGTGGAGACTTTGGTTGCGGTTCCAAGCACGATTCGGTACGTCGTTTCATCGGTTCCGTGTATAAAAGTACATCCCCAGCTGTCTGTTGATATCGTTTATCGCTCAATCTCGGATCGTACTGTCTCTTCCTTCTCCTCACCCTGTGAGCCACTCTACAAGTGCAAGGATCCGGCCAAGATCTCTTTGGATCCGGTCCAAAGATCGTCTCCCACCACGTCAACGGTTCTTCCCTCGGTTTCTCCTCTATTTTATAATTACTCGGTTTCTCTTTCATCGGTTTCTGCCTCTTGAAACTGAACAATTTTTTCCAGCTGCTTTTCTCTGCGTACTCGAGACACTTGGACGGACAATTTTTGCATATAAGGTCCATACAGGGTGGCAACGGTTCTCCGCAATTTCCGCGGCCATATTCGATCGGTTTATCCTTGGATTTGAGGAACCAGAAAGATCTGAAGGTCCCTTTTAGCGACGAGGAGCTTTTGAGCAACTGATATCCATTTTCCTGAGAATTGAAAATATTTTTATGCGTGTTTGAGATTGTTCTTTTTGGGACACCGTGTGTGTTAAGGAAAAATGGAGGAAGGTTCGTAACCTGTAAACGTTATTTCATAGGTTGTTGAGTGTAATTTAGAGTTTTTTTTTGAGAAACGATACCTTGGACGATTTTACACCGAGAATTTGGAATTTGGACCGGAAAGATGCCATGGAGAGTGGCGATTTTTTGGGGAGGACGAAGGATCGTCCTTTGCCTAGGTGCGTCACATTAGAAATTTACTCGTCCGAAATATTTGGGAAACAAAGAAGCCTCGATCGTGTAGCACGTGTCCTTTGAATTTTTAGAAAATCGATCCATACGATTTACTATCACAGAATCGATCATTCTTCGACGAAGAACATATTTAAAAAATTTCCCAAAATCTTCGGTATCTTGGAAGATTATTTTTACTATTTTCTGTGTCGTGAAATAACGAGTGTTTAATTAAAATCGATCCATACTATCACAGAATCTACCATTCTTCAGGGAAGAAGATATTTAAAAAATGTTGGAAAATTATTTTTACAATTTTCAGTGTCGTGAAATTTACTCCTCCGAAATATTTATGAAAAGAAGTCTCGATCATTTAACACGTGTCCTTTGAATTCTCCCAAAATCGATCCATACGATTCACTATCATAAAATCCATCATTCTTCGACGAAGAACATATTTAAAAAATTTTCCAAAATCTTCAATATCCTGGAATATCATTTTTACAATTTTCAGTGCCGTCAAATAACGAGCGTTCAATTAAAATCGATCGAACGGCGAGTGGAAATTAGCGATTTACACGAGAAACCCGCTGATACCGATTCGATTTCCTTTGATCGTCGACCATTTCCGGTCCCCTGTGCAAACCTCCATACTAACCAGCCCTGTTAATTCCGGGAGAACACCGGAATTACTGATACTGCCTCTGCAAACGAGATGAGAGGGCTGTTTCGACGAGATGTAGTTGTCGATATCGCGAGCATCCACGCGTGGATACTTGCACGGATGGAAAACGACGGGAAATGTGTGTGTATGTACGGATGTACACGCAGGAGTGAAGATGAGAGGAGAAGGTTGAAACCTCGTGGAAGACGCAATGAGAGATTTCGAAGCGTTTGCGAGAGTCAGATTGATTCAGCTCAAGTGAACCGACTTACTCGTATAGCGCCTTTCACAGGTGATACGCGTACACCTGTTTCGTCCTTTGGTAACTTGTAGCGACACCATCTTTAGGTAGGAGAGAATTGAAGGAATTTTTAAAGTGTGCAGTTTTCGTGGTAGGTTTAAGTCATTTTTTTCTTGTTTTATTTAAGTATTCGAGAGCTTAGATGAAGCTCTCGCAGGGTGTCTTATTTATGAGGAATCTTATAATTAAGAATTATTTTTGTTACTGTTGAAAGTAGGGAAATGTGATTGAAAAATTTTGGGATGCAAAGAAGTTCCTCTATGTTCCCCTTTTTGGATCTATGTTGATTAGAAATTTTTTATTCCTTTCGACGAGTACTTTATGTCTATGAAGTCTTATGTCCTTTTTCTCGTCAGCCTGCATTTCTATCTACTTAATTTTTTTCCAAGATTACAGTGACAATTTAGAAAAGTAAGCGAATAATAAAAGTTTCAGAAAAATGGAACTTCGTCGTGTTTAGAATTTTACTAACACAAATATCAAAGAAACAATTATCACACTCGAAAAAATCAATTACAAGAAGAAGTTGAACTCAAAAGTAGTTAACTCGAGTGGCGACTGAGAATCGAAATTATTGCTTACCACTTCGTAAAAACCTAATTTTCCAGGACACCAGATCCATACGCCTCTCACAAATGTCTAAGCAGTGAATGTTTCGAAAGAACCGATCTTTAACAACCTGCTACAATACCTCGTCCAACACAAAACCACCCTAAACGCAGAAATAAATCTGCAATAAACATACAATATTCATCGAATTGCAATAAATTAGCATTTCACCCCCAGCAAAAAGATCTCCTAGCGCAATGGTTTAAACAGAGCCTCGAGGAAAAAGAACAACCCTTTGCACAATATCCCCCGAACCAAACACAACATCACACCTCGTACATACACTCCACCCTGGCGTACAAATCTCCACACCTGAACAGCCCTGTACACTCGGTTCCCTCGCTGCACACGCATCCACGACATATCCCCTCCTCTTCTCTCTCTCCACGGAACGTATATCCCGAACCGGCGATTTTCCGGCGGCGAGTCGCGGTGAGGAAGGGTGTTTACTCAAGACACGACAATTCATTACGTAATTGAATTGAACGAGGCCTCTCTCCTCCTCAGCCGTTTTCCCCACCGCGTGTCTCTCCCTCCTTAGCCCACGGGGGTAGAACGCGGCACGTGTAGAGAAACGACGGTGGTTTGCGCGTGTGCGCGTCTATTTGGCCAGGCTGGAGAGAGGCTCTCCCTGGTTGGGGAGATCCATCCATCCCCATAGGCCACCACACCCAACCAGCCATCCATAGAGTGTAGCAGAGAGAGTGAGAGAGATAGAGATAGAGAGGTTTGGCCCGCGTCTGGCTGCCTCGAATAACGCTCGCTACTACGGAGGGGTAGAGCTACCGAATTAAACGATTAGTTAAACTGATTTCGAGTTAGGCGAATGAATAAGTAATCGGATTTCTCGTTAAGGTAATCGCATTGCGCCCTGATTGGCTCCGTCTGCCTGCGTTATAGACCGTTCCCCTCTCTATCTCTCTTCATGGTTTCGATGCTAGCACACGCTTCGGAGTCCCTCTTCCCTTTCGTCTATACCTGGCACAACTGTGTTGGATCTCCCTTTCTCTCTTTCTCCGTCTGTCTAACGTGTTTTGCCTTCGTTCCACCGCTGTTAATTCTCTAACTAACCTTTTCGTTTGTACTGGTTAGAGAGGAGCCTCTCTTTCACGAGCACGATCTACGCACGCGTCATTCAATGTCGTTATACTACGTCTCCTTCCTGTCTGCCACCATTTCCGCCCCGTCACGCTATCGCCAGTTCCTTTCCTCGCCGTTTTGGGGTCCGTTCACATGGATGCTGGGTTTTGTTGTCGACGAGGTGGGCTGGGGTGGAGGTGAGAAGCGGTTCGAGGTGTTTGTGGTTGTTTGGGGGTGGGGAGTGATTATGGGTGTCTGGTGTGGAGGAGGAATTTGGGCTTTTGGGGAGAAGTTTGGTCTTTTGAAATCGGTCTTCGTTGGTTCTAGTTTGGGGATGATTCTGAGGAATTTTTGAGATTTAGATTTTTTTTGAGTTTAGTAATAGCGGTAATTGATTTTCTATTATATTCTTTTTTGAATGAAACCGATCAGATTTGAGCCAACCAAATTCGAATATTTGAAATTTATTTCGAATTTAGGAAATGAAATTAGAATATTTGAATTTAATTGAAATTTAGGCAATCGAATTAGAATATTTGAATTTACTTGAAAATTAGAGAAACAAATTCGAATATTTCAAGCAAAATCAGCAAATAACCAACCCATTTCGAATGCTTGAATTTCATTGAAAATTAGGCAATCAAATTCGGATATGTTAAGTAAAATCAGCCATTAACCAACTCATTTCGAATACTTCAATTGAATTCAAAATTACACAATGAAATTTGCATTTTAAAATTTCACTCAAAATTGGATAATGAAATTTCAGTTTCGGAATTTCATTCAAAATTAAGTAATGAAATTTGCATTTTAAAATTTCATTCAAAATTAGTTAATGAAAATTGCATTTTAAAATTTCATTCAAAATTAGTTAATGAAATTTGCATTTTAAAATTTCATTCAAAATTAGTTAATGAAAATTGCATTTTAAAATTTCATTCAAAATTAGTTAATGAAAATTGCATTTTAAAATTTCATTCAAAATTAGTTAATGAAATTTCAATTTTTAAATTTCATTCAAGGATAATGAAATTTCAATGTTCAAATTTAATTAAAAATTATTCAAACTTAAATTTTCGAACAGAATTCATGCCTGTATCGTAAATCCATCGTCTTCCCTAGCTCGTACCATCTCGTATTCCTTAAATCGTACCTGCACAACCCTTCCACAGAAGAAGACATACTTCACGCTACCAAAGAAGCGTACTTCCGCTATCTTTCCAACGAAACACCCTTAAAACCCACTATCCTCGACAGATTATCGTCAAAACAGTCAGCACAACTTAAAAGCATCTCCGACAACTGCCTCCCCTGCACCTTTCCTTCCCAATTTCATCTTCACTGCCCCGTTATCCATCTTTCCAGGCCTCCTCCGCTACTTCCGCCTAAGGTTTCCACGTTGCCCCTTTCGTTCTCGCGTCTACCAGCCGGTTCCTCTCTGTCCATATCCGTCCCAACGTTCCACGTGGCGTGTTTGCCCTCGCAATTACATTCCCGAACGCAATCCCATTTAAATATTGCCGAGTTTGGTAGCGGCAAACACGAGACCTCGCAGCCCGTTCGGGACGCGGCTGGCGTGGCAAAGGCCTGTTACACGGCCATTTCCATGTAAAACGTTGCCTCCCCAAATATTTTTTCCCACCCGCGAAAACACTCTGTCCTCCGATTTTTCCAAGACGTTCTCTCTCTCTTGAGAGAGATCGTTCGCGGAATTTTAATCGTTCCCCGGAAGATTTTCCGTTCACATTTGTGGAATTAAGAATAAAACATATGTGGTTGTCCGGTCGCGTTGCCTACCGGGCAGTAAAGAGCCATAAACCAATTGAACAGTCCTTTCCAGCCTTCTCTTCCTAGCCCAGTGATAGCGATTCTTTTGAGCTCGGTGTGTCGAAATTCGGAAACAACCTAGCTAGTTAACGACTCTGAACCTCGTCGATAGAAGATAGACACCGTTGTTTTTCGTTGTTGTTTGTGCGATGATTATTTGTGATCTGCTCGGTTTCGGCTGTGAGGTGACGTAAGTCGACGCGTGTCACCTTTGACACGCGTGTCGTAGGTTCGCCATCACTGTCCTATACATCGTTCAGAATAAGAGTAACCTCGCTCTCGGACCGATTCTCGTCCGTTCTGCGCATAGATAGAGAGCGTATCAGAGAGTAAAACGGAGAAAAACGTAGGCGGTTAAGTGAGGGTTTGGACGTTCCAGTCCTGCCTTAGGCACGTCCCATGCTCGAAACGAGGTTACTCTTATTTTGAACGATGTATAGCCCCTAACAAATTCCTTTCCTACCATAAAGAAGTTGACGAAAAATTTTCTGAGATTTCCTGCGAGTCAACCATAAGTCAGATGGCGAAATTTGCTTCGAGCCAGTAGTGCAAGTCGACGATATCTCGGGCGCTCGAAAGATTCTTCGCTGTGCGCAAGTAGTGCAAGTCAACGATTTCTCAGACGCTCGAATTTTTTGTCGGAATTAGCCAGTAGTGCAAGTCAATCGCTTCTTGGACATGCCAGAACTCCCCAAGTCCGAAATTCGAAGCGGAATTATTTGTTAATTCATTAACGTATCGATTTATCGAAGTGTCGCGTAATTACTGTTTCTTGTCTAAATAACAATTTGGATTTGTTTAAATTAAAAATGGAGGGTTTCAGGCCACCGCAGGTATCAAGGAAAGGCTCGAATATCAAGAAAAATTATTTATCGAGAAAATCGACGATTTATCGCGAGAAAATTGTGCAAAGTGTATTTTACGAAAGGTTACAATATACCAGCATTGTTTCACAGCATTTTGCAGTCTATTCATTTCTCCCTAAAACACCACATCCATTTCAAACGCTCATTCTTCAAATGACATTCCATTACAAAGTTAAACAAACTAATTGCACACGTTAAGAACGTGTAACAATCAAACAGATCTCGAAATTCCAGCGGAAATAGCGTCGAGTCTGTAGACGTCTTTTCCTCGAGAACGTTTTCATTTCCCATCAAACTTCCCCGCAAGTGTCATCCTTAACCTCCGAACTCTTCACACACGCTCCCCGGCCGCTGTTATTCCCGGCAGAATCTCCGCCAAGTAACAAGTCAACGAGCAAACGAATCATTTTAAGGAGATCATCATCCCCCGGCTAGCATTCGGTATATCGCGGCGTAAACAGCGTCGACGGGGACGTTGAACGAGCATCGTCCTCGCACAGAGCCTCCGCACTCCGTAGACACTTCGAATGTGTTCCCTCAGAGGAGGGTGAAACGACGTCACTGGGGGTAGGTGTTCGTAAACACGGTTGTCAACGAGCAAACGAATCATTTTAAGGAGATCATCATCCCCCGGCTAGCATCGGGTATATCGCGGCGTAACAGCGTCGACGGGGACGTTGAACGAGCATCGTCCTCGCACAGAGCCTCCGCACTCCGTAGACACTCCGAATGTGTTCCCTCAGAGGAGGGTGAAACGACGTCACTGGGGGTAGGTGTTCGTAAACACGGTGGTGGACTTCTGGCTGCAGGTTGTGCAGTAAAGAGAGAGAATAGGGTTAGAGGGAATAGTAGCAGAGAGAATAGAGGGAGGGGAAAGGAGGAATAAAGGGAGTTAGAGATAGACGGAGACAAAGTTAGAGATGCTTAGATAGAGAGACTTAGGGAGATACAAGGG